TTTGCATTTTGACGACAAGAATTGTGGTTAATGCAGACATGATTCCTTGTAAAAAGGTTTCAGTTTTGTTGCCAGAAAAAGGGGAAAACCCTATTATTATTTTTTGGTACTGGCAAAGGAGGTCTGATGATGTAAATGTGCGAAGGAGCTAAATGCAAATGTCCGAGGTATTTCTCGCCATGGAGTCGGTGACCGTCCGCGGTGCACGTGGTGAGAGCACGTGGAGAGTGCTGAGAGTTGCGGTTCTATTCTCTTCTCGCCAGTGCCGGATTAAGCTAGTACGTATGTTGTGAAAACAAAATGTTTTTAAACTTGCATAGTAAAGTAATTGCATTTTTTCATTTGCTATACAGCCAGATAATACGACAAATCGCTAACCATAAACACCCAGTCGTTCATAAAAGTTGAAGGCGGTATAGTACTATAGTAATAGAGCTAGTGATAGCTTGAAAGCATTTAGCGCGGGGCCCTTGAAAGTGCGGGGCCCGTAGCTACTACATGCGTGGTCAATGGCATCGCTGTGCAACTGCACCTTCGTCTCACAGTCTTAGGTTTTTTCGGTAAAGTCACTAGTCTATTTTACCGAGTTGTTGACATCCACCGCGTTTAACAGTGCTGCTATTGTTTGGTTTTGGAAGCCAACATCGGCCGTAACCCATCTGGAGGTTATACTCTTAGGTTTTTTCGGATTTTTGTTATTATTATTTTATTTCTATTATTTTTTATTCTTCTTTTTTTCCTACATGACTTTACCGAAAAAAACCTAAGAGTATGAATCCTTGCAGTCACGAAAGCTTCAAACCTGTGGAGGTTCTTCACTTGGACCTTCCCCTTCTAGCCCCGCCCACCGCCCCCATCTAGCCCCTCCCACCTTCCCTTCTAGCCCCGTCCACATTTCCATCTAGCCCCGCCCACCTTCCCAGTCTCTGACTGCCACATTTAGATAAGCCCCTCCTCCCCCTCCCCTTCACCAGTATTTAAGATCTTGTCTCTTGGATTTCTCTTCACTTGATACAGTAAATTTAGCTGTGACGGTCCCACCTGAAGACGGAGACTTGTGATGCCTCCGAAACGTCGTGATTTAATTAAGTTTTTTTTCATTTATTATTATATATATTTATTTTTACCTACGTGACTTTACCGAAAAAACCGAAGAGTATGAATCCTTGCAGTCACGAAAGCTTCAAATCTAGAATTCGTCTCACAGGCCGGAGGGGCCCAGGTATGAGGCTATGAAGCAGAGGTCGCAACCGGGTACCCGATACCCGTACCCTACCCGATACCCGTACCCGGCCGGGTACGGGTACCCATTTGCGACCCTGGTGCGGCCGGGTACGGGTAAGGAATCAAAACCCGTTTGCGACCTCTGCTATGAAGAGGGATCGGCGGGGTGGGGGGGGGGGTATTCTATAGGGGGCCCTATTTAATTATCTGCACGAGATGGCCCATTGGCAAGCACGCCAACGGCATCGACGACGCCCAATCATCTTGAAGTGGCACCTTCATGAAAGCTCGACTTGTATGATTGTATGTCGAACTTATTTCTTACCGTACGTAGCCAACCCTGTTGATCATTGCGATTTTCCAGGGTAAAAAAGAGTGTAGAAATGCCGGCCACGAACCCTGGACGATGATTCTCATGATGATGATGAGAAGAGGTCAGGGTAGGCGCCTCTTGACATCCCACCGGAGCAGTGATTGACAGCTATGGACTCATCTTCTTGGTTCTTTCGGTAAAGTCACGTAGAATGGAAATAATGAAATAATAAAAATAAAACATAATTATTTTATTATGTTTTATTTTAATAATTATTTTATTATGTAAAATTTTTATTATTTTATTATTTCCATTCTACGTGACTTTACCGAAAGAACCAAGAAGATGAATCCCTGCAGTCACGAAAGCTTTAAATCGAAAGCTATGGACTCTTTGCTTGTTAATCCACGTCAGTCCACATTGTTTAAACCAAGGGGTTTGATTCATTCGCCTTTTCGGCCAACGTCAGCCCAGCGTTGTGCGCGGTGTGCTGGGAATGCACCCACAGACAAAACTTTTAAATTAAATGCGTACAAAATAAATTACGAGTGTGGTCAGCGTGATTTCAACGTTGTAGAAATGGCACGGGAGAGGTCTGTCAAGTTGCTGGGCTGCGCGTTCATTCCGGTGACATGGGGTTCTTTGGGGCAATCCAAACGCCGCTGCGATGTTCCCCCTGGAGGGTCCGTGGGTTGAATAAAATCTCCACTCGCATATATCATACGCGACATTGGTACGTGCGTTCACAATAATTGCCGTTCTCATATCATACGCCAACATAAACAGGAGCTAATAAAGGCGGTGTGGCCACGCCTGCCGTGTCGCTGTATACCCACCTGGGCTGACACACGATGCTCCCGAAGGCTTTGTCTGCGTAATAGCTTTAATTGTGTGTAACCTGAGCCGTGCAGTCATGTATATGCCGTTAAACAAAGTGGATATCGTGGTGGGTCAATAAAGTGGATAGAGTGGTGGCTCTTATAACAGTTACACGAAAAATACCATTCCGCTTTTGCTTTCACCTGTGCACTGTATGCATGTGAATGTTGCGAGTTGTCTAAAGTGGTGGCGTCGCGATTGGCACGCTGCAGGTCACCACAAACCACCACCACCACGACTACGACACGTCCTGTGCCAGCCTTGGTGGACTCGTCTCGACGAGCCCAGTCTCGTACTTGTGTGCATGCTATGTTGAACTTTCGTTCGCACCGTACGTAGCCAACCGTGGTATTCAGAGGGTATGTAATCGAGTTTTCCAAAGTCTACTCCTCTTGAACCCCCCACCGCGGCTGTCTTTCTAGAGCGTGGTGGTGGGGGGGGGGTTCACGCTGCACACGCCCGATGATTGTTAAACACGCCCCACGTGACGTGCTAAAGGATTAACGCTGCCTACGTTAATATAGTCGATTCAAATCAAGATGTTGTGTGTTTGTGTGCGCACGTGTTCTGCTGAAATTAAGCCCCGTGTAATTGTTAAATTGTAATTAAAGCAGAGCATGTGCCAAATAGTTAACACGCATATACATTTTTTTATTTAAAGCTTTCGTGACTGCAGGGATTCATATTATGGGTTCTTTCGGTAAAGTTACGTAGAAGGGAGATAATAAAATAATATAAATATGAAACAATAAAAAATTCTCACGACGTTTCGACTGCAACACAAGCAATCATCATCAGGTGTGAAATCCACAGCAATACAATTTCACACCTGATGATGATTGCTTGTGTTGCAGTCGAAACGTCGTGAGAATTTTTATGTTTTATATTTATATTATTTTATAATCTCCCTTCTACGTGACTTTACCGAAAGAACCAAGAATACGCACTTACATAAACGAATCTTTCCAACTTTAGATACTGCAGTACACTTGTGGATTCCTGCCAATGGGTAACCTTTATTTAGTACAGGGAAAACTCTTTGAAGTTACAATTTGTATTGACGAAGAAGACTTGTGTAACCGTAATTACATGAGTCACTGTTCTTCCCGTGCAATGCTCGGTTGTGGTTCATTTTCAAATTTGAGGTTTGGACAATGACAACCAACAAACAAGAGCCAGCTCTTTGTTGTTACACGATGTGCACCATGACGTGCTTTTTTGATGCCCTGCCAACTACAAATACAGAATCCAGTGATCGATCAGACTACCCAGCCCATGGTTATTATATTTAGCCGAGTGCGAGTGGTGCATGGCTGGTTTACGGATTTAAAATTCGGGCCCCCTTTTCAATTTCACCACCTCCCCCTCCCTCCTCCTCATGGCCCATCGGCTGGGCCTCTCCGGCCCTATAGAGTCCGGTGCAGTTGCACCGTCCTGCACACCCGACAGCCACGACACTGCTGGCCACACCGCAGAGGTCGCAACCGGGTACCCGATACCGGTACCCTACCCGATACTCGGCTACCCATACCCAGCCGGGTACGGTTAGCCGTTTGCGACCCTGGTGCGGCCGGGTACGGGCTAAGGAATCAAAACCCGTTTGCGACCTCTGCCACACCGTACGAGGCTGCTGCCGTACAGATGGCTCAACAAAGCGTGCGGTTTAACGCAATGTGAATGGGACACTTTGCAGAATTGCACACAAGTGCAGTGTGAAGTGGGTCTGTTATCAGGCAGAAAATGCCACTGCGTAGCAGAAGTCGCAAACGGGTTTTGATTCCTTACCCAGGGTCGCAAACGGGTACCCGTACCCGGCCGTACCCGTACCCTACCCGTACCCGGCCGGGTACGGGTAGGGTACGGGTATCGGGTACCTGATTGCGACCTCTGGGATGAAGCCATGTTGCAGGCGCGGGTGGGTTGATTCTAGGAACTTGAATTGTGAGAAGAGACCAGTGACTCACGGTCTACCCGTACCCGTACCCGGCCGCACCAGGGTCGCAAACGGGTACCCGTACCCGGCCGGGTACGGGTAGCCGGGTATCGGGTAGGGTACGGGTATCGGGTACCCGGTTGCGACCTCTGCTGCGTAGGTGTTTGCGGTTGCGCTGTGCAGCCTTTACCAGCACTTGCTCCAAACAATCTGTGAAGGCTATGAGGGGGATCTTTGTCTTTGCTGTACAGCTCTCCCATGTGTTTAACGGTTGTTCTTCTCGTCTTTGATGTCCGATGTTTTACTCCAGGAGCTTCTTCGGGAACTGAAGCAGATTGATTTATTTTGTTCATTCCGTGACCAGTGATGCCAAACAAAACACGTGTGTAACTACCCTAAGTAACGTACAGCGTGTGTGCTGAATTTTTACATTGAACATTTGCCATCTCAGTATGGATAATTTCTTTTTAATTGTACGACGCAGCTTATGTATAATTCTATATATACACACAGAGACATCTCACAGTAGTCTATATGACACAGGGCCAGTGTTTTGCATATTCTGCACGTGTTAGTGGTTCTGCTTTAGCAAGATAGCCGGGGAACTGGGAAAAATCTAAGTTAAAAACACTGCAATATCACTGCTTAATGTCCAATACACACCGATTTATAAATACTCGTACGAACAAAGTCTATGTTTACAACATCTATGGCTTTCGAGGGTACTTAAATGACATGTTTACGGCATAAATAACGAACAGTACACAATAATATACAAAGATACAATAAACTTAAGATCAACGGACGTGAATTCTATCGAGACATATATACAATTTAGTGTATATACGCCCGAATATTTCGACTTATTTTAACCGTCTATAAACGTATGCATAAAATACAGAAATTCAACTTTTTCTTAACAGCGACATGTTGCAAGCTTTTGTCGATATTTGTTTTTGTTTGCTTATTACAATACTACCACTTGGTTAAAAACTTGTTGCAAGTCCCATGCTATGTCCTCTTTATTAGCCGTCGTCCAAGCTCATCCCACTCCGTAAATGTGGATCTGTTGACATTTATTGCACGTTCGGTGCGATTCATGCAGGTCACCAGAGCAATGCTTCGTACACACCCCCCCACCCAGCTGCGAGTGTTTGCTCATTCTCCGTCACGTTATAACTCTTGTTCGGCCACGCCGCTGGATAACAGTGGCGAAAATGTCATCGATTTGGAATATATATATAAATATTAGCTCCACCATCCCGCACTTCACGATGAACCAAACACCGTAATTAAATTATAACATGAATTCACGGACATTTTTACACTAATTCGTTTCATTTTTAAAACATCATTTGTTTGTAATATACATGTCCCCACATGTCCCATGTGTGTTGGAGATTCAAAACGTGCTGAGACTGGTTAAAATAACCACATAGACTACCGTTTTTCTCCACCAGTCTACCGTTAAAGTTATGCCGCACGCTTAGATCTTGTAACGTTTAAAAAGTGAAGTCAATTATACTGGCACTCTTCTTTTAGGAATCTGTATCCCTTGATACATATTTGCAATTGTCTTATCGGCGTCAAAATGACATGCCAGAACCATGGCCTTCCGTAATACAGGTGTCACCACCATTTCACGACGCTTGCTTTCCATCGCCCCTTGTGCCCACCAATATCGGTTTTTACACCCTATGCATCACTCACGCACACAGCTACACACGAGAATCACGTCTTGCAGTACGCCGCCACAGCCTACCGTCGCGTAAAGTTCAGCCGCTTTGACAATTTAGTCTCGACGGAAATTCCCATCGCACAATGCTGGCGTCCCACGAGGGCGTGCCACACCACGCGTGGCCATCTTGGAAATGCCCAGAATGCTTAGCACAGCTGTGACGTCGCTTCACACAGGAGTTTCCAGCGGACGCCACTACACGCCTTCATCGGTGATCGGTCATTCTCTTACGACTGTGTGACAAAAAGTGCAGCCTATGCTCGCGTGATCCTGGCAGTATCGTCACGGTGGTCCTGAAAACCCAATGGCTGCGATGTTATGATTGGCGCACAATAATAACAGGATGTATGTTAAACTGTTTGGGGCAATTTATAATTGTTTCAACTTTATCACCAATTACATGACGTTGAAAATGGGCCACCGCCAGTTTTATTCCAAATGTCTCGAGGCAGTAAAAAAAAAAGTCCTGTCAGCTGACAAAGATGCATCAGTCACTTTCAATGAGCATCTCACTTCAATAGCCCAACACTCAACAGCATGCCTTGAACACCCACTTCTGTCTTCATGCTCTCTAGAAAAGTGGTCTCCCACATAAGTATTATATTACAAATGTTCGCCCTCAGGGCAGGGTGATGCGGAAGTGATTGAAAGCCATGTGCATGCATGGTGGCACCTTTAAACCATTTCCAACGAAGGTTGAAGGTGACAGAGGGTCATGCGAACTTCAATAACGATCAAACTTGTGGGGTAAAGTGGTGTTGCTGCTGGGGACTTATCGAAAAACTGGCGAAATACATCACAGCGTTTCCCAAAAAACACGAAGATACAAGTCAGACCAAAACTAACTAATAGGCAATATGTAAACCAATTTTGCACTGAGATACCCGTTAGCACAATCGCAAGTTGTAAAGTGTGACCGTAATCCATGCGTGTGCGCGACTTCTTTTCTAACCTGTTTTTAAATCTCCCAGGTGTCACTGCAGCCAGGTACTTTACTCAAACCATCATCCCTCTGGGATGGGAGGGGGTCGATAAAATACGTACCACTTTGTGGGACATGAACGGATGAGTGCCACTGCACGTGCACGTTGGAGCACGTGATAGACACCATTTAATTTGTAGTCATCAAGACAAAGAAGGGAAATGATGGCGGATTTGGATGGCCTTCATCCAGCAGTGGATTTATCTTGGCCGATAATTGTGACTATGATGACCGGAGGTGTAACTTATTTGCCTCCTTGGCGATTCCACGAAATGTCAACATTTTAGGATTGCAATTCGATTCAAGAATAAATTGTCATTTTAAATATTGCCAGAAGTGGTAGCCTCTAGTGGCTGAAAGGGTGAATATATTACATGCATGCATGAATGTGTATTCTTACACACGCAATTCAGTACATGTATCAGTCCGCCTGCACAGGATACAGGGTCTCTTTCTCAAGACGTCCTACCCACCATCTGTACATAAGCGTAAAATATCACCTGACAACGGCATTTGCTGTTGCAGATATAGCGCCTCCAAACTTCGACAAACATTATCCCGTTCTTCCACACTTGTTAGATGGATTGTATGGTGTTAGTTGTCACCCAAACTCGACAGTACTCCACAACAGTTGACGATCGACGTCCTATGCACCACAGTATATAAACGTAACGGTCTTTTCTCCGATGTTGTCACAGTTTGCGTTTTGTCGAGTACACAGCTTGTACATGACGAGCGGCGCTGATTGGCTACGATAGTGTTTTTGAATGTTCAGAGAGACTCGTTTGTCTGCACTCGCACCAAGAGGGCGATATCCAGTCCTGGCGCGAGGTTTTGAGAGACCGCAGGGCACAGTGTCGCCTCCTCCTCGTATACGTGGTGGTGGGCTTTCTTCGGGTGCTCTGCTTTCCTCCCCGCATGAACCCAGACGCTCGCTGTACTATATTAGCAAAACATCCCATTGCACGACCACCTTCTGGTCTTGAGACCCTCCTTAGTAAATTATTAGAATGGATTTGTTAATTGTTACGTCGCTTATGGTGGTCTGGATAGCTCACGTGGTACAGCTACGGACTCAGATCTTTTAATTCATTAACAAATTAGCAACATACAAGTGGAACTTAAAAAAAGGTCATTCAGAGGTGCGGGAGGCGAATTCGGGAAAGGGGAACGAGTCTTCAGACTCTGACAAAGGTCGTTAGCGAAGCCAAAGAGTGGCACGGTGAGAGGGGAGAGTGGGAATACCAGGTGACCGGAGCTTGCCACAGAGAAGCGACGATCTCCTCGCCTGGTTCAAGTGTCAGGGTTGACGAGGAGGAGGAGGAGGCCGCTTGGAGAGATGAAGGTGGAGAGGAAAGGGTCTGGGAACAACAGAACCCGGTGAGGAGGACTCCTGGATTTGAAACTAAACTATAAACTCTTTAAAAACCAAACAGTTTTTATTTTCCAGGTAAGGCCCACTGAGCTATGTAGCTCTTTTTCAGAAGTGACCTGGCCACAAATGATAGCTCAACGAAGTGGCTTATCATCACGTGGAAATTTTATAGAAGTGAAATATTTTGAACACATGTTGATTCCAAATGTGGAGGGAAAAACCGGAGGACCCGGAGAAAAAATTCGACGCGACCACAGGGAGAGAGACACGCACACCCCAAATATACAACAGGTGTCAGGGTCGGGATCGAACCCATGGCCTTCTGTATACAAGGCGAGGCAGTTAACATTTTAACACGTAGGCTTTCGCGACCAATATTATTCATAATCAACGTTTTTGGGTTTAGATCGCGTTATTTATAAATGTGTCGTAACCCTCCACCACCCGACACGGCCAATCAGTAAAAAAGTGTCACGTTGACAAAAGACAATTAGTTCACTGCTTTAGCCCACCGGTGTGTTGAAGCGTGAAACCACAACAATTTACAATTTGAGTAGTACGACGTTTCGCTGGTAATTGCATCCAGCATCATCGGGCAATTCGCCAGAATGATGAGGCTCTGCTCTGTCTCCCGTTCTTATATAGAGCAGCAGCAGGGTGACGTCATCATTAACTCATTAACTCATCAGGTGCAAATATTTGAGGGGGGGGGTTATTGTAATTATATACTAGATTAGTAATCAGGCTATTGGAAAAAAAAATACAATCGGTTATGAAGGGCCAGTCCAGAAACACCAAAGTCATGGCAAAGGCGTTCATGCAAAACACCGCGCCTTGTGGTGTCAAAGGCTGCCAAAACGCCGGGCGAATGGGACAGCAAAGCCGCGGTGATGGGCATGTTACCGTTGTTAATCACCGTGGCTTCTGTCGAGTGAGCAGGCCGACACGCCGATTGCAGAAAACACAAGATGGGAGACTAGGGCGTAATTAGTTATGAGCCCAGGCAAAGAGAGGCTTTCAAGGATCTTAGATATGGAGGGGAGGTTTGTAATAAGTCAGTCGTTATTGAAATCCAGGGCAGGCGGGGGGGGGGGCAGAGTTATTTGTCCGCTCTGCACGATACTCGGGATTTGGCCCCGAATTCAAAAGATGATGAGTTGGCGAAATCACAAGTTAACGTATGATAATAAAGCATGTTTATATCTAGGTTCACGCCATCAATCATCACACGGAGGTCAGTAAAGTGAATTCCACCTTGTGGGGCCGCACCACTTAACACTGGAAAATCAACACTGTCTGTTCCTGATAGAGACAATATTCCCTGCTGCAAGAACACGGAATCTCCACCACTCTCTTTGGACGGTCAACAGGCCGGCAACTCGCAATACCACGGGACGACATTAACCAACTTCACATGAACGACACGCATCGGTCACTCCTCGCGCCACGTGCGTGCGCGGGTCGCGTGTCTAGGCTGCCGCACGTACGCACAAACACACCACGCGCGGGCATAACGCAGCACGAAGCTCTACCTCCTAGGACACGCGCGTCACTACGATCCCCCCGTGCCCGTCTTAGAGCGCCTGGAACTTCCACGCGTTTTGATCCTTGTAGTCCAGGCAGTCGGCGTGCGTGAAGTTGAGCTTCCACGCCGAGCTCTGGTCCTTGTAGTCCTGCAGGTAGTCGGCCGACGTGCCGAAGCCCAGCCCGGCCGCGCCGTACGCCTGCGCCGACAGCGCCGTGTGCGGGGACACGGGCCCCATCCCGGCCGACACGGCGCTCGCCATGGGGCTCAGTCCGCCGGCGCCCGGGGACAGGTACGCGCTGCAATCCATTGCCGAGTAGTAAGCGCTGGAGCCCGGGTAGCTCTGCGTGTACACGGACTGCTGGGGCGCATACGTGATCTGGTAGGGAGAGCGCTGCTGCTGCTGCTGTTGCTGCTGCTGCTGGTGGTGAACCTGCTGCTGCTGTTGCTGCTGTAGCACGGCCGCAGAGGTTAGCGGGTCGGCCAAGCTGTCCGGAGACACGGCCGCCGGGCTCCAGAGAGACACCGCTGCGGCCGCTGCGGCCGCGGCGGCCGCGCTGTTGCCCGACGAACCGGAAGCAGCAGCTCCGGCCGCGTTGCCGCCCACTGGCGGCGTGAACTGGCCCCCGCTGCCGGCGCTGCTGTCGCCCGCGTTGCTGTCTCGCGGGGAGATCTTCTTCTTGGCCGGGCGGGCCTTGTTCTGAGCCGCGTTGTGCTGCTGCCGGCACTTGGCGCGCCGATTCTTGAACCACACCTGTGTGGGGACACCGCGTGCATGGGCGCGCGCGCCGGGACGCGTGGTTAAGATTCGGTGCGGAAAGTTGCAGTAGTTAAACATAAACAAAAAAGATCTCGGTTCCCTCGCTCTCTAAATCCGGCCCAAGTTGCTCAGTGACAGAATGAGTCCCGCAGTGTATTTAACTTGAACCCACCATCGTGGTGACGTACGGTCAAACATCCCCCATGACCGACTAGGCTAAATCCAGGTGACCGGTGATCAATTCATGACCACGGCCAACATCAGTGGCGGGTGATAACTGAATCGGTCCTGGGCACGCTGCCCAACCTGCACTGACCAGCGTGGTGAAGAATGGTCAAACAACCTCCATGGCTGCCAGGGCGTGGGCAGGCCTTCATCCAGCAGTAGATTGCCAAAGGGCTGTAAATGACGACTGCTAATTACGCCATCGCATGGCTCACAGATTTAAACTTGGACACGTGATTTGCACGTACATTCCATACGCGAAAAGAAGAAGTAGACGTTAATTATTCAGAGCAAATCACCCAGAATGTGATCATCACATCTCAGAGGCTAATAATAAACTATTAGTTTTACATATCGCGTCGTCGGTCGCAAATTTTGCGTCTCACAGTCGGCGAGCAGGAACCACAGACGAGGCGATGAGCTGAGACCAACCATCGCTCTGCAGTTCTCTACATCTTCTTGTTTCTTTCGGTAAAGTCACGTAGAAGGGAAGTAATAAAATAATAAAAATAAAACATAATAAAACAATTCTCACGACGTTTCGGCTACAACGCAAGCAGCCGTCTTCAGGTGAAGAATGAGACACTACCAAACTAGGAGCTTATATATAAGCTGCATTGGGGGTTGAAGAGCGCCTTAACAAAAAGAATGTGCATGTGAAGAGGAATTTAGCATATTCATGGAAAATGCGTAGGCGTTGGGCGGGGGGGTGTCAAAGTCATATTATGCCCATGCATTATGCAGGATCAGCAGCAACCAAGGGGGGTGCAGGGATTAGCAGTAACAAAGGAAAGGAATGTTAATGATATGTAGCTGCAGTTACTCAACAACCACGTAGAAAAACTAAAGTATAAACTACATAAAAAACTAAAGTATAAACTGCATCGCACCATCAGTATACTTACTATACTCTATAATAAGCTGAGTTACTAACAGCAAGTAATACATTACAATTCTACCTCGTAAAAATTCTATAATATGCTTCCATCTAAACCTTATTCTCTTATATCACACGAGCATATACCGTACTATATACTGCCATAGATAAACCCAACATTAAATTATATACTGTATTGCTGTAAACCAACCTATATCTTATACATTTAATATAACACTATGTATTATTCTACACACCCTAATGTGTATCGAAATGGTTTATTACGTCCTTCCAATGATTGCTGAGCCAGAATCCATCTTCTCGGTTAAAATTGTCTCTGTGTTTGTATATGTGGATCGCCTCATGAACGAATCTCTCATGATAGCCAGATGGCTTGCAGAGAACCTCTGTCTTGGAGAAGTCGATATCATGTGAGCCCACTGAGTTGTAACAGTGATCTGCCACGGCTGAGGTGTTTGTCCTACCGTGTTTCAGGTCAGCTTTATGTTCACGGATGCGGTCCGAGACATGTCGTTTGGTTTCCCCAATGTAACTGCTACCACAGAGGCAACTTAGTTTGTAGACGCCAGGGTACTGTATGTCTGGAACCACATCTTTTACAGACGGTACCAGATCACGGATTTTATGTACTGTGTTGAATCGGACCTGGATCTTGTGTTTAATCAGGATTTTGGAGATCTTTTTTGTGACCCCAGCAATGTAGGGTAAGGTGATGGTCTTGAAAGGCTCCTCAACAGGATCCTTCTTGATGGTTGGAGTGATGGCTTTGCGGATTGTATAGTCGGAGTAACCATTTGCCTTAAGAGCTTGGCGTACGTGTTTGAGTTCACTGGAAATGTGTTCATGGTCGGAGATGCATTGGGCTCTATGATATAGAGTCTTGATGAGGGAATTCTTCTGGGATGGATGGTGGTGGGAATCCGGTTTTAGATAAGCATCCGTGTGGGTGGCTTTCCTGTAGACAGAGTGGCTCATTGAACCATCAGGTCTCCTTTTGATTAGGACATCCAAAAAGGGTAGCTTGCCATCATTTTCGACTTCCATGGTGAATCTGATCAGATTCACCATGGAAGTCGAAAATGATGGCAAGCTACCCTTTTTGGATGTCCTAATCAAAAGGAGACCTGATGGTTCAATGAGCCACTCTGTCTACAGGAAAGCCACCCACACGGATGCTTATCTAAAACCGGATTCCCACCACCATCCATCCCAGAAGAATTCCCTCATCAAGACTCTATATCATAGAGCCCAATGCATCTCCGACCATGAACACATTTCCAGTGAACTCAAACACGTACGCCAAGCTCTTAAGGCAAATGGTTACTCCGACTATACAATCCGCAAAGCCATCACTCCAACCATCAAGAAGGATCCTGTTGAGGAGCCTTTCAAGACCATCACCTTACCCTACATTGCTGGGGTCACAAAAAAGATCTCCAAAATCCTGATTAAACACAAGATCCAGGTCCGATTCAACACAGTACATAAAATCCGTGATCTGGTACCGTCTGTAAAAGATGTGGTTCCAGACATACAGTACCCTGGCGTCTACAAACTAAGTTGCCTCTGTGGTAGCAGTTACATTGGGGAAACCAAACGACATGTCTCGGACCGCATCCGTGAACATAAAGCTGACCTGAAACACGGTAGGACAAACACCTCAGCCGTGGCAGATCACTGTTACAACTCAGTGGGCTCACATGATATCGACTTCTCCAAGACAGAGGTTCTCTGCAAGCCATCTGGCTATCATGAGAGATTCGTTCATGAGGCGATCCACATATACAAACACAGAGACAATTTTAACCGAGAAGATGGATTCTGGCTCAGCAATCATTGGAAGGACGTAATAAACCATTTCGATACACATTAGGGTGTGTAGAATAATACATAGTGTTATATTAAATGTATAAGATATAGGTTGGTTTACAGCAATACAGTATATAATTTAATGTTGGGTTTATCTATGGCAGTATATAGTACGGTATATGCTCGTGTGATATAAGAGAATAAGGTTTAGATGGAAGCATATTATAGAATTTTTACGAGGTAGAATTGTAATGTATTACTTGCTGTTAGTAACTCAGCTTATTATAGAGTATAGTAAGTATACTGATGGTGCGATGCAGTTTATACTTTAGTTTTTTATGTAGTTTATACTTTAGTTTTTCTACGTGGTTGTTGAGTAACTGCAGCTACATATCATTAACATTCCTTTCCTTTGTTACTGCTAATCCCTGCACCCCCCTTGGTTGCTGCTGATCCTGCATAATGCATGGGCATAATATGACTTTGACACCCCCCCGCCCAACGCCTACGCATTTTCCATGAATATGCTAAATTCCTCTTCACATGCACATTCTTTTTGTTAAGGCGCTCTTCAACCCCCAATGCAGCTTATATATAAGCTCCTAGTTTGGTAGTGTCTCATTCTTCACCTGAAGACGGCTGCTTGCGTTGTAGCCGAAACGTCGTGAGAATTGTTTTATTATGTTTTATTTTTATTATTTTATTACTTCCCTTCTACGTGACTTTACCGAAAGAAACAAGAAGATGAATCCCTGCAGTCACGAAAGCTTTAAATCGAAGTTCTCTACATATTAAGATGTTTTCAACCAATTAGTGAGCGTTTAATACACGTGGGGACAAGGGGGACGACAACACTCTAGCCCAGGGGTCGGCAACCTCCGGAGCTGCATGCGGTGGTTCTTTAAGGAGTGCTGCTTCGCGACACATTATTTATTAAGGACCACACCGTCTCGTATTCACCACCACCACAGTGCGTTAAGGCTCTTGAAATATTGAGGGGGTTTTTTTGTTTACCGAATTCGAAAAGACCGTTTCTTCTTGTTGTTATTTTAATTGATGAACCCAGCTCTGCCCCATCCAGAAGGGACAGATGATATCAGTCCACGCTTTTGCTGCACTGCATTCTGGTAGCAAGCCAGGGTTATCGCACCTCCTCGATGCCCACGGGAAGGGAGTTTTGCGCAAACTTTTCATCATTTCTCCCATCCACCAACAACTCGCCGCTGCCCCCACGGCGCCGGAATGGAGGCGGTCGCGTGCGGCATTGCCGCCGCGTCCCGGGGCTACCCCGCGGGGTTAGAACCTGGAGAGCGCTTGGAGGGGTGACTACCACCATGCACCAGCAGGGTTGGCACGCGTGCCGGGCAGAAGCAGAGGGCAGTGCAGCAGAATACCTCTGCCAATCCGCACAGCGTGGCCAGCGTGAAGCACGGTGAACTATCACCCCCCCTTCTCCTCTCCTCCACCCGTCAAGAGCCGTGCAGGCGTGGGGAGGACCTCATCCATTGGCTGCGCAGTACTGTACATCTATTTAGAATCCACTGAGACCCAGAGGGCTCACAGTTGTGTGTTCTTAGCTCGTGTGTTTTATTTGACCGTCTGTTATGCTCGTGGTTGCTAGTTCACTCGTTTTTTTTTTAAGAATCCACTGAGACCGGAAGCTTCTTTGTGGAGGTGGTGGGAGGGGACCCCGGTAGGGGGGGATCCCGGTGGGAGGGGAGGGGGACTCCAGTGTGGGTGGGGGGGGTAACCCCAGTGGGGGGGGGACCCGCTGGATGTGAGTGGTTGGCACCGTGAGGGCCCCATCTTCACGCGTGCCTCAGGGAGCTTGATCTTGATGATGGTGATGTAGGAGAATGAGTAATGATTATTCTGATGCTGAGGAGGACGAAGTGACGCCACGGTGGCTAGGAGATGTTGACTACCTCGCCTCGTATACACGAGGTCGTGGGTTCGATCCCAACCCTGATGCCTGTATATTTGGAGTTTGCGTGTCTCTCTCCCTGTGGTCGCGTGGATTTTTCTCCGGGTCCTCTGGTTTTTTCCTCCACATTTAAGACACTTCGTTGAACTATCATTTGTGGCCAGGTCGCTTCTGAAAAAGAGCTATACAGCTTAGTGGGCCTTACCTGGTAAAATAAAAAATAGTTTCAAATAGATGGAGAAGTGATGATGATGATTGATGATGAATGAGAATGGCCCCCACCTGCACGCGCGACTCGGGCAGGTTGATCTTGAGCGCCACCTCCTCGCGCATGAAGATGTCAGGGTAGCGCGTCTTGGAGAAGAGCGACTCCAGGATGTCGAGCTGCGCGCGCGTGAACGTCGTGCGCTCGCGACGCTGCTTGCGCGGGGCTGCTGCGGGGGGTGGGGAGCAAGTTACTCGTCAACAACAACAACAACACACAGGAATAGCAGCAGGATTGATGGGAGCAGCACTAGCAGCGTCACCACCACCATCAACAAGAACAGAAGCAGCAGCAGCAGCAGCAGCCGCCTAATCGTGACTGTGGCCGAGTGCGATCCACCACTCACATTACCGACCATCGCCCAGTGCACTGCTCCTGCACGAGGCGCAGATGGAATCCACCCGGCTACCCCAGCCATTAACAAATGGCTTTACAAACTCGACACACAGTTAATAAACAAACAAAAAAGTATATTCCAGGTTCAAATGTCATTTAAAATAATCCACTTTTTTTTATTGCATCTCTGCACACTTGGCATGACGATGAACTTAATAATTTTATTTTTTCATTCCACGTAATCCGCCTCCTCTCAGCAAAAGCCTCCACGATTAGGGCAATGAGATTTCGTGGGATATCAAATGAATGTGATTTCGTTTAGTGGGAGAAACAATTTGACTAATTTGAATGAAGGTTGCCTAGTTTTATTTGAATATGTCGAGGAATCCACTGCGTTCAGAAATAGCATTCTGTTCATCAGTGAATGCTCCTGGGGGTGTTTGTAGCTCATAGAGACATTTCCCTACAAGTTACTCACAATTATCATTGTATAGCATTGGGTTTATTTTTTTATCCTTGTTGCTAGATGCATTTTAAAGCTTAATTTTGTGTTGTATCATTATTATTATCTTAACAATGAAAAAAGCATGCGTATGCATTCATTTTGGATTTGGTTCCCACTAATAACCTCAATGTTATGATTCATGATAACTGCTTTTTGGTTTCAGCCACATAATAATCTTAATATTTAATTACTGCATTTGTTGGGGAAATTATTCTTCAACTTTACTGGTGATTGCACTAAAATAATAATAAGAACTGGTCCAGTTAAACCCTTTTTACACCACGTGACGAGTTTGGCCAGCATGGTCCCTTTGTACACCACTTGGTGAAATCGTTTACGTGGCCTCACCCAATAATCGACGATGATTCAGTTGAAAACAGTGCTCATTTTGTAATTAACTTACACTACCTTGATGTGGGGATATTTTTAATACATTTATTAAATAACAAATGGTAAGTTATTGTTTAAATTTAACAATTTACAATTCACAGTGTGTACGAACACGAATACAATAACGAATGCTTTACACTCTTAATATACGTTTAGAAAAATTGCCTCCTACCAATCAACTAATTCGTGGTTAAATAGCTTTCCAATGATTGCACTTGGCACTGAATAAGATTGCACGGTTTTTTGACCATTGCATTATCCCTTGTGGTCTTATTATAGAGCAGAACATTACACAAATCAATTTATGAAAGTGGCACAGCCAAAGAAAAAAAATCCCTGAGCTCTGTGTGGGTCCTGGGTGTAGCCCATTGGCTACGTTGCTGGCCAATGGGATGGTCTAGACCAGCGGTCAAGAACCTATGGCTCGCGAGCCATATATGGCTCTTCTGGTGACGGCATATGGCTCCCAGACAATTTTGAGTTGAAAAAAAAATACAAAAATCAGTTTGGAACTGATTTTAAAATACTTGTGATATTGCTTAATAATACTGTGTCATTTTAAAGTTAACAGAAATTAGTTTTGAAGATAAATGTCACGGGTCACGGAGCCTCAACGCCTGCATGAAGCTCAACCTCACCACGTACGAACCAGACTACAAGGCCATTAGCAAAACCATGCAGCACCAGAAGTCGCATTAAAAGTAATACATATTTAATTTATTATACGTTAAAAATACTATATGGCTCTCAATGCAACATATTTAGAAATATTTGGCTTTTATGGCTCTCCCAGTCAAAAAGGTTCCCGACCCCTGGTCTAGACTCTAGAGTATTGCAAACGTACTGCCCCTAAAGCGTGCCACCTGATGGAAATGGGACGTTTATGAGTGACCCCAGGGGTATCGGGAAATATGTCCTGGTGTCATCCAAATTTGCGAGAGATATGAATTAGATTGCAATGTATGTGTGTTTGAACTACTTTCGCGCCGTATGTAGCCAACCGTCTAAATTGGAGGTGCGGGGGAAGGACAACAAACGAAACACAAAAAAGATCTAAAGAAATTAGTTTTCAGTCTAGATTATTTAAAAGTGCATAGCTCCAGTGGCTTCCTAATATCGGAAGGAAGAGCGTTCCAGATGGACGCAGAGGCGCGTCTGAAAGCGCCGCGCGATGCAGTGGACTGTCTTTGTTCGACGGTTAGCCAAAAGTTCGATGGTTAGCCAAAAACAGCTTGTGAGGGTGGGTCAGGTGAGCTGCTCATATCCCCAGACAAATGTGTATAATAAGAAAACTATCCATTCGTTCACGAAGACCAAAAACGATGCTGTCCATACTTGTGGTTTACCCTCCGCAAACAACTCCAGAAGTGCTCAGTCACTGGGGGGAAATTGGTTTGAGACCAAAGGAAGCTCGGAACTTTGACTCGCAAACACTTTGCGAGTCAAACGTGGCCAAAACCAAAACGGCGCTCTGCAGGGGACTGTTTGTACGTTCAAGAGGGCCGCACTTGAAGGTGCTCAATTGCGTCAGTTCCAGATCACCGGCAGATGAGTCAGACGAGCGTCAGCGGACGAGGCAAAACTAAATAAAAAAAAATATAATAAGTGGCATAGAGATGGATAAAATGAGCTTGGTAGAAATTACAGGGGTAGGTACGAATCATTACACGTAGAGAGAGAGAGAGAGCTGCCGTGAGGACTTAGAGGCCGGCTGAACAATGCACGGAACGTAACTTTAAAAAAAGTTAGTGCAGGCACTGCCGACCTGTTCACTGGCCACAGTGTGAATGTGAAGCTTTGTGCGTGAATCCGTTCCTACGCGGCACCAGGCTCTGCATTGCACACTGTGATTACGAGACACGTGTCCGCAGGATACATCTGTGGAAAAAAGAGCTGCATAGCTCATCGGATGTTTCAAAGATAAGTAAAGATTCTGGTTCTGATTCTGACATGTTCAGCCCTGTTGTGTTAAGTGACTTGCTGGATCAGGGCATACTCTATGCCTTGCGGACCATACTTCACCACCTCGCTTGTGAAGATGGGAGGAGGGGAGGGCGGGACAGAAATGCGTGGCGGTAATGAGATGTTAACTACCTCGCCTAGTATACAGGAGGTCGTGGGTTCGATCCCCCCCCTGACGCCTGCTGTGTATTGGAAGTTTGCGTGGTCTATCTCCCCGTGGTCGCGTGGATTTTTCTCCGGGTCCTCCGGTTTTCTCCCCTCCACATTTAAAATCAGCATCACGCGTTTTTGGCCGCTATACATTTCCACGTGACGGTAAAGCCACTTCGTTTCAGCTTTCATTTATGTGATAGCCAGGTCGCTTCTGAACAAAAGAGCTATATAGCTCAGTGGGCCTTACCTGGTAAAAGAAAAAAAAATAGTTTAATATTGCTGATATGAACTCTTCCACGGCCTACGACGCCTCTTACAGCTCCCCCTATTTTCCCACACGGTCCTCCACCCAGTCTAGCTCAGTTGCAGACCCAACCCCGGGGGGGGGGGGGGGGGGGAGCTTTACTTCGGAAATCCGACGAGACCTGGGGCGTGTTCCGGGCGAGTTGATCGCGGGCGTTCACACGGTAATGGAGCTATGAATATGCCCGTGATTATTTGCAAGTCTGAGCAGGGCTCTTCAAAGTGGATAGGATGTGTCGCTATAGCAATGGATCTTCAACTCTTCTGGCACACGACGGAACGGCGTGGTCTCTGTGTCGTTGTACCGCCGTCGAAGTTATTACTCCACACCGAGGTCTATTTGTATCGATGTATCTGTGTGCACGTAGCCAGCCGTGCTAATAGGAGGTGCGGGGGGCATGACAAACTATGGATGTGTTTGCACAACATTCCAATACGAATGCGGTGGAGAGACGCCCTCACAGTGGCGTGTACTCGGATGGCCCGACCGACGTGCTGGTGGGTGATGGTGTTTCTCTTAATCCTCTTTTGGGCGAACGTGTGCTGACGTGTCCATTACACACGGCCCGAGACTCATCGGCAAGGTGACGCGGTCGAAAGTCTAAACAGATTCCTCAAGAGAAACGTACGCGACTATGAAGCTGGGCAGACACGAGCCTCTGTATTGCGCGTTGTAGGTAAGAGACACGTGTCCGCAGGATACATCTGTGGGAAAAGAGCTTCATAGCTCATCGGATTTTTCAAAGATAATTAAAGATTCGGGCGCAGGTACAAAGCAGAGTCCAGCGATGTTCATCTCCGTCAAGCAAACTAAAGTCGGTGATGGTGATGTTGCTGCTGCTGCTGTTGCGTTGGCAGTTGTGCATATGCACAAACAACAACAAAACCCCTCACATTTGTCAATAACAACACCGTGTGTATGGCCTGAAAAAATAAATCAAAGACGACATGTCGTGGCAATGGTTCTTCTCCTTCAACGGCATCGTCTCACCAGTGCTAGCCCAAAAGGCGAGCCGAGAGGCGGAGCAGTACAAGGACAATGCAAACACCGGAGCGCCGATGGCTCGGGTAACTGCCGCACACCCGCAAGCGCAAAGCCAAACTCTTTCACCATTCACTAGCACCTGGGCGCTGGCGGCAGGGTCCCCACCGTGGCGTACGCATCTCGCGAGCGGTGACCACCCTCAACGGCTGGGATCTCACCTGGGTATCCGAGCGCGGGATGGAACAGGTCCATGCCATTGGTGGCGAGGCTGAGGCCCGGGTAGGCGGTCTGCTTGAGGTCCAGGTACGCCATGGTGCCCCACACTGCTTCTCCGAGCGCCTTGTGGTGTGGGGGGGGGGGGGGGGAGTCGGTGGTGCAGGGGGGGTTCTCTGTGGTCGCGCGACGCGGCTCCCTCACTCCGACCCGCTTTCGTCAGCCTGCAGCGTCACCCTGGGAGGCAGGCACCACGGCAGAGAGAGAGAGATGACGTATGGATGAATATATATAGAGACGGCGAGTCCTCGCTTTCACTTTCCGCACAACGCGAAATGCGCGCCGTTATAACGCGAAACGCACCCCATTATAACACGCCCGTTATAACACACTCGCTATAACGCGGAACGCGCCCATTATAACACGCCCGTTATAACACGCCCGTTATAACACACTCGCTATAACGCGGAACGCGCCCATTATAACACACCCGTTATAACACGCCCGTTATAACGCGAAACACACCCCTTTATAACACACCCGTTATAACACGCCCGTCATAACGCGGTTTCTGAGCGGTCGACGACGAACTACTTTCTTGAACTGCGTTGCTGAGCGGTACAGTGATACGGTACGTGGAATGATGCAGTAACGCGGCGGCGTGCCCTCAGTGTGCGTAGTCGTAGTAGTTGTAGAACGTCGTATCTCGCCAAACTTTATCGTGACATTATCTATGGGGTAATTGTTTTCGCTTAAGGCGTTTTTCGCTTAACGCAGCACTTTTCAGGAACGCATCTACGACGTTAAACGAGGACTTGCTGTCCATGTTATACAATATATTTATACAACCCTTTGTTAATCCACTGCTGGATGAAGGCCTCTACACGCTCTGTCGGGCGTGGGTTTGTTTTACCGCAGTAAACACGCCACTGCAGCTCCACACAGCGCATCACAGCCGCGAACACTTCGGCATTAGTGTCAGGGAGATGTTTCGTGCCATACATCCCCAAGACTGGCCAGTGCATGTCAAGCATTTGGTCATGGAGCAGCTGTAGCTGCTGAGTTGGCAGTGGTCTGAACACAATTCACGGTGTAAAAAAAATAGTTCCTGGATAGTAAGTGTTATTTTCCAATTACTTGTGCCTAAAAAAATGACCATTATTACCCACAAACTTTGCTTTTGTGACCAGGACGGTGATATTTAGAATGTACCTATTTTCAATAAGAAAACGTGGTGTGCATTTGCGTCATTCCTTCACGTAAAGTCCTGCTCAGCGGCTGCCAGCGGATTCGCTTGCGAGAAAGTAGCTGCCGGCACACCGAGTTGCGAAACGTCGGAACATCGCGCCGGGCAACACGCGGCACACGTCCACGTGGTATGCAGCGCTCGACACAAACTACGCGCAAGAAGGATTGATGGGGCCGTGAGTTCGAACCCTTCGGCCGGGATCGAACTCATCGACCCTTCGAGGTTGTGGGCCGAGCGCTACGCCACAGTAGCGTCAGCAGATGCAGTACAGTATATATATATACTGCACAGTATATATATACTGTGCAGTATATATATACTGCGCAGTATATATATACTGCAAGAATTATCTCTAGAACTTTGCCAATCCACTGCTGGATGAAGCCCACCCCCCACCCCTCCCCCCCACGGCGTGTTGTCTAACGTGGGGGGTTTGTTTGACCATACTTCACCCCGCTGGTCGCTGCGGGTTGCAATTCAAACACTCGTAACGAATCACATCGCCAGTGCAGTACGATTATTGCTTTAAACAAACCAACACGCGTGTTATATACATGCGTTATTTATTTATATATTTTACACACACACACACACAAAAAAAACCCATTCAGGTTCGGTTAAAAGGTTAAATACGCCCGGTCACACGCACACAGCAAGTGGGATTGGTTATCAGAGGTCCAACGCCGTAACGGGTTTCGATATCACTCGCCACTGATGAACGCCGCACCAGTGGAATTAAGCTACCGGGCATCTGTGAGAAAGAGCTTTGTTGCTCATCGGATTAACCCGGTAAAAAAATAAATAAATATATAATATCTGATTCCGAAGCTCGCTAACCGGTGCGCTCACAGGTCGAGTTTGACGCGAGCGCAACGCGCGATGCAATAACTCCACCAAGGATCGGTGAACAGCCGGACATCGTGAAAGGAGGAACCCCCCCCCCCCCCAAGCATGATGGTGGCGCAGAGCAAGGTGACATCGAGAAGTCGTGGCATTATCTGCGCGCAGCCCATGATGAAGAACCCCACAAACATCGGTAGGCAGCAAACGCGTCCGACTACTCGTGAGTGACTACGTGCGACTACTTGTCCCGAAGCTCAAAAGTATAGAGGTGTAAAGCGCACAGATCAACAAGAGCTAGAGACGGGGTGGAGAGCGAATGGTGAGCGCGCCGCGCAGCGCACGGATTACGGAGGAGTGATGTGTAAACCCGTCCTCGGCCTAAACCATCACCAACCCGCACACTGACCAGCGAGGTGAAGTATGGTCAAAGAATCCCCAACGCAGCGTGGGGGGGGGGGGGAGAGGCGTTTATCCAGCAGTAGATTGTCGGAGGGGATATGCCTTCTTATGCTGTGCAACAAATACGTGGAAGACTTCAACGGGCATTGACAACTTACGTTGAAACAAGGAAATAACAATAAGAATTTAAAATATAAATTGTAGTCTGTTTTGTTGTTTGGTGTTAGCTCTACCGATGTGTTTTCTGGTGTTGCTGCTGCTGCTGTAAATAAGCTCCAGGCACGTGGAGCGGAACGTCGGACAACGCGGGGAGCAGCACCGCGCGCGCTGCGCGACCCGGACCCACAGCACAGCCGCGAATTTCGCGAAGCGGCAAAAAAAAAACCCCTACGCGCCGTGGTGGTCGTCTCAAACTGCGTTTACAAAGACGAAGAAGACCAACAACAACGTTTACGTTTCATAGTATCGCGATTACATTCGTGCGTAATGCAATGTACTTACAGCAGCAGCAGCAATGTGTCCTGTTGACATGGATAGAGTCGGACGGGGGTTGTCGGATGTACACACACCCGACACGCACCTCCAAGGCAGGCCCCCCCCCCTCTCTCTATCGTTTTTGCGGTCCGAGGCAGATGGAACAGAGAGGTCAGAACCAGCCGCGCCGCGTTTTGCTCCGTGGACTCCACGGCAGCCGCGCTTGTTTATAACCAGCACGACCCCGACGCGCTCAGGACGTGACTAACGAAACACAAAACACCTCCTCCTCCTCCTCTTCACCAACTCCCCCCCAACGCCCTCCGTGGCACCACTTGTCCATGCACCACGACACCGTTTAAAAAGAATAACCACTCCCCACCACCACCACCACCAACCACGACCACCCGTCGTTACCTGCTACCACGGCATCCTGCCGTTGAAGTTGCCCAGCCTCCTAACAAGGTGCCAGCCGCTTTTAATGCCTTTAAATCAAGACTCCCCGATGCGCCAATTAGCACCCTTTGTATCCAAAGTCGGAGGCCAATGCTCGGTGCTTTATTTGCCGATAGGTCTGGGAGGATGCAAATTATATTTGCCAGACTAACGACGGTGTCGCCCGAGTGCCGACAGCACTCCGGCTACACAACCGTCCCCCTTGCGGCGTCGTTTTGTTGTTACTCATCATCATCATCCTCCTTGTCGTCGTTGTCGGACAACAGCGGCCAGGCTCTGTCCACTGCTTGACGAAATCCAAAAACAAGCCACGTTCATCCCTCTCGCGTGAGCATCGACCGGAATCGCACAGAGTGGATTCTCGATTTGCGATCGCTCCGTCTCCGCGGACTGACTGCCTTCGGCTGGCATTCCCTTCTTCGCCTCGACCCCCGTAATGGCGCCTTTCACCTGCGTTTGTTTTTCACTTAACGTCCCGTGGACGTCTTTCTGTCCCTATCTCTCAATGGCATTCCGAGCGCTCGTATTTATATCAACGCTTCTTTGCGTGCGAAACTTTCCAACTTGTTATTCGATAGTTGTCCACCTTGCTGATCCATATGTCACAGCAGGTTATATGAACTCGCTACAGTGGAATATGTTGCAAAATATACGCGCGAATACATTCATAATTCGAGAATATGTGGCCAAGTCAGATTCGCTGATGACAGTCGTTTGTTGCAACGAATCTACGGGAACTGCAAGACATTTTGGAATAACTTAAAAACAAGACCATAAAGATGAGCTGAAGGTAAATTAGATTGCTAAACAACTGAAGATACAATACAGTATACGCATATGCCGTACACATTTAATACATATCGTGCGTTCATTTTTAGGGGCAATGGAATGAAAACATCGACGCGATGTTAATCACGAGCTAATAGGGAGGTCTTTACTCGTGTGTATCGGTAGGATGAAAGTTGAGATAAGGGCAAGGGGTGATCAATAAGGTCTGTAACAAGTCGGGCACTGATAGGGGTTGACATGTATGGTTATTGTACAGGTATGTGTATTCATACTTCAGTCACCACAACATTTTATTATGGGTCTTACCTGATAAAATGACAAAATATTTGATCGATCAACTGCTGGATGAATGACTATGTAAGTGTACGGGATGTACATAGTAGGAAGCATTGTTCGTACTCTACACAGGTATTTATTATGTTTAATAAAACAATACATTCCAGCCCTTCTCCATCCACCAATGGACGAAGGGCTATCCCGAAAAGTGTATTATGTTAAAGGGGGGGGGGTGTTTGACCATACTTCACCACGCTGGTCAGCGCGGGTTGATGAAGTAGATGGGGGAAGTGACGAGGACGTGTTCATGCTACCATTCGCCAATCAATGGCATCTGTTGGACGTGACCGGGCAATCGACCTGGGGTCGCCGGGGGTTTCTAGCGCATGGCGGTGCTAACCACCGTGCCACCGCTCGCGCCCGCTCGACGCATCCAAGGTGCTTGCTGTTGTTGTTGTTGTTGCTGTTGTTGCTGCTGTTGTTGTTGTTGCTGTTGTTGTTGTTGTTGCTGCTGTTGTTGTTGTTGTTGTTGCTGTTGTTGTTGTTGTTGCTGCTGTTGTTGTTGTTGTTGCTGTTGTTGTCCGCGTGGAACATCCAAACGGGGCGACAAAGCGCGCGGCGAATATACACGACACGCACGGACAACGCGCGCGGGCTCTTGTTCACTAGTGCGCATGAAACAATAGCCAATCGATACCTTTCATCCGGAGCCAAAGTCGGCGTACACATCCAGCTATAGGCCACTGCAGCA